CATCTCCTAATATTCTGTGATTCTGTGATTTCAGGAGTGAACCAACCAGCCTGATCGGATACAGTGCAGGTATTTGGCATTCTGCAAAGGAAGACCAAGCATGGCACTGCTCTGATTTTCATCTGCTACTGATCTTAGACAGATGTCATCATGGCAGCTTTTATAAAAGCCTTTTTGACATTCTTCACTAATAATAATAATAAATACTAATTTTTGACAGCTCCCACAGTCCTTACCAAGCTCAGTGAACCAGACAGTTAAGTACACGTACATGACTACAGACAAATACACCTTCCAAGCTTTACATATTGCAGTCCAGTAACTGTTTATGAATGCTTCCATTATTTTGGAAGCTACACAAACTGCACATAGTCACACATCAACAACCAAGCCACAAATAATTAAAGCACTTAGTTTATCTACAGATATTAAGTCAGATCGGTTTGTTCACCCCATGGATAAGACAGGGCTAACACTTGTGTCCTTACTATTCAGCTTCTGAAATCAGAAAGGTAAACCAATATTGTCTGCACAAAATAAAGAGTGATTTGTTTCTCCAACACCTTCACAAAATACATTCACACCCCTAAAAGTCACTTGCTTGAAAAGCTGCACATGGATTACACAGCTGCTTTAGCAATAATCTTGTTTTCATTAAATTTGGTGCAAAATTTACCACCGCTGTCAGTGGAAGCAGCATTTCCTGTTGCTGAAACAAGGATCAGGTGAAAGAAAGAGTAAGACAGCCTTAATTTTTCGCATTTTCACCCAGAGATTTTGACATCAGTTATAGCTATCATTTCACCTTTTCTTGGATTTTTTTCCCATAGATTTCAATTCAACTGATTAAAAACTAAGCCAGTTTTAAAACATTTATACCAATTCTTAGCATTTGTACTTTTGCCCTGCAGTTTTGGTCCACAAACCAACCGCAGAAAAAACAAGTTTTGCAAGTATAAAACCCAAGCCAACTTCCTGTTGACTGCACGCTTACCTGCATCACCGTGACCACATGACAGGGGTTCAGGAGGTAAATGACAGTCCTGGTGGCAAACTTGAACCCCACCTCCAGCCCAAAGGTGAGACACAGCACCACAAGCAGCACGTTCTTGCCCAAGCTCTCCTGTTTAGCCCGAGGCTGCCGCAGCAGATGACCCTGCAGCTCCCTGAAATGCAGCTGCCTGAGCTTCCACAGGGACAGGAGGATCTCCACGACGCCCACGCTGAGGAAGACCAAGCTCTCCAGAAACCGCTGCTGCCCAGAGAGAAAGGCCGCGCATTCTGGCCCTCCGTTGCCGGCAAAGCTGGGGTCCACACCCCCGTACATCCAGTCCAGGAGATTATGGAGGCTGTAGCGAGACATGGTGGGACGGTGCCTCTTCTCCTCCCCGTCACTGTTCAGGAACAGGTAGGAGCAAGACGGAATCAAAGCCAAAATGCTGTCAGGCTGATGAAACATGAACCGCAAGGACGGCCCCTCTGTAGTCCCCTTCCCGCCCAAGCTTCAGCACAAGCAAGCAGCCCAGCTCAGGGCCAGGCGAATTTTTGGCTTTTCCTTTCGATGCCAGGACGAGAGCCGCCAGCA